CCCCACCAAATTAAGCATAACGTAACAGTATCATAATCATGATCAATTTACTGTCTTATTGAGAATTCACATCCCTTATGTTACAATACAAGCAAAAACAACACTTTTAGTAAGAGAATCACATCTTTTCGAGTTTTTGGAGGAAAGGGATAGGTGGGTTAGTGTTTGAGAAGATCACAGTCATTCCGGTCATGCTAAAATATGCCCTTTTTTTAATTGATGATAAGCTATGTGCCTTTTGTATTTTGATGATTTAACAAACTTTATATGAGAACGAGATAGGGAACCTGTTACACAGCCTCAAAGTTTTCAGAAAAACAAGTCACATGTGTGGCACACGTTCCAACATGATCAGTTAAAGTAACGACATGGGAACATATATCTATCAGTTCCTCCAGTGACAGTACAAGTCAACTCCCTACAACTGTTAAAGTCACTGCACTGTTTCTCTGCACATGCAACAGTGCAACAGTCACTTTATGGAGTATCTCTTGTATCAGATATTTGCATACATCATTCCAATGACCTCACTTATATATTACCAACATGAGGCAAGGGAAAACACACACTTGCAAACCCTAAATCATTAAGTCTCTTTCTCAAGTGTGTTGCCACCTCTCATTGACTCCAAGGCTTGATGAACAAAGTAGCAACAGAACAAAGGACTAGATCCCATCACTGAGTTTATCATATGTCCTCAGTATTATTGTATCTTTGTTAGTGTTATTTACTTGTAATTCCTACTCAGCTTAGTTAGAAGCATTCTGTAGGACATCGTTCGTAAAATCATAAACCTTGTGTTTGTGTTTGGCTAGAGTTAGTCAAAGTGGTGAGCTTTGTAATAGAGTTATTATAAAGAGGCTTGCAATAGAGTTATTGCAAGTAGGTGAGGAATTAAGATGTTAATTCCTAGATTATAATATATTGTAATCTAAAGTTTGCTCGGTTAGTGAAGTTGAAATCCTACGAGTGTAGGTCATGTTTTTTCATCCCGTGAGTTGGGAGTTTTTCACGTAAAAAACTATTGTGTCATTTACTTATTGTTGTGTGTGTGTTCTATGAGAATTGATAGAGAACCGAGTTCTCTATACAGTTTAGTGAACTCTTAGTTTACATCAATTAGTATCAGAGCAGGTTCTTTCTATAAGGTCAACACCTAGAAAGGATCCACATGGCTGCTCCACCAAACTTTGTAGAAGGTCAATCAACCTACAGACCACCAAGATTCAATGGACAATACTACGGATGGTGGAAGATAAAGATGCATGATTTTATCATGACTGAAGAATCAGAGCTTTGAGATGTCATCTGTGATGGATATTTCGTCCCTATGAAGACCATTGACGAGTCAGTATTGACAGTTCCAAATACAAGGAAGGGGTACAACGATGTCAACCGCAAAGATATGGAGAAAAACTTTCGAGCAAAGAAGATTCTCGTCTGTGGTATTGGACCAGACGAGTAAAATAGAATTTCAACCTGTCAATCTGCCAAGGAGATCTGGGAGGCTCTCCAAATCGAACATGAGGGAACAACTCAAGTTAAGCAGTCAAAGATCGACATGCTCACTACTGAGTATGAACTCTTCAGGATGAAGGATGATGAGTCCATTCAGGATATGCATACTCAATTCACCTTCATCATCAATGATATCTAGGAGAGATCATTCCAAGGAACAAACTTGTCAGGAAAATACTCAGTGTATTACCTCGTTCTTGGGAAAGTAAAGTCAATACTATCATAGAGGCAAAAGATCTACAAAAGTTGTCCATTGACGAACTCATTGAAAATCTGAAAGAGAACCCAAAAAGGAGAAGAACCTGGTCCTCAAGGCAGATAACAATGACTCAAGTGGTGAGAACACTGACATGGACTATTTGACAAGGAGATTTTAGAAAATGGTTCGCAGAAATGGAGGCATTCCGAAAGAGGGGCAGCTCCAGCAGACCAAAAGGCTATGACTTGTGTCATAAATGTAGGAAGCCAGGACATTTAATCAAAAATTATCCTCTCCACAAGTAAGACCAGTACAAGCACAACACAGACAAAACAGCCAAGAGGAACCCGGTTCCTGACAGGAAATTTAATAGAAAAGATGTCGCTGACAATGTTGTGAAATAAGCTCTTGTTTCATGGGGAGATTCCTCCAGTGAATCTGAGGGAGATGATGAACAAGGTGACACCTCCATGATGGCTGTCGAAAGCAAAGCAATTGAATATGACTCCATCTTTGTCTTGATGGCAAAATCTGACGAGGATGAAGATGATGATGATGATGAGGTAAACTTTCTAGACGTTCAAAGAAATTTAAAGTCTTATTCTCAAAAGAAGCTTGTATCCTTAGCTAATGTTCTGATTGATGCTTATCATAACCTTATCAATGATAAAACGTGTTAACTGTGGAACTAGGAGAGGTAAAACATGAGAGAGATGATTTGGTAGTCGTAATGATTGATTTAAAAGAAACTATTAAGGATTTAAAGAAAGAAAAGGATGCTCTAACTGAGAAAATTGAAAAGGTAGATCATGAGAGAGATGACTTGTTGGTAGTAGTTGTGGATCTAAAAGAAACAGTAGAAGAATTAAAAGAAGAAAATAGTTCTGGAAACACTTTAATAGGTAAGGAAGTGGCAAGTGAGGTACACCTTAAACTTGAAAATGAGCTCAAAATGGTAAAATTAAGTATGTGTGCTGAACTTGAAAGAAATAGACAACTTCAGGAAGATCTAGGCAGGGTAAAAAATGACCTAGATAAATCTCTAAAGTGGACCTGGTCCTCTGATACAATCACTACCATGTATAAAGGTAACGGGGGGAACATGCAAGGAATTAGGTTCCAAAGGAAAAGGTTCCTTACAACCCACATAGCAAGTATGTTACTGTCCCTGATAACTGGCTTTGCACTCACTGTGATAACATTGGGCACTTTAAAGAATCCTGTAAAGCTAGATTTCAGTCCTAACAGAAAAACAAAGTCTTTGTTGAAAAAGTACCTACCGCTAAGGAACCTGGTCCCTCCAATAAAAAACGTGTGATGCCTGCCTAGACAAGAAAAATTTTAATTCGCCTCTTTCCTTACTACAAGGTACCCAAACTTGTTTGGGTTCCTAAGTCTAATCTCTAATTTTCTTGTGCATAGAGCAGTGAAAGGAAGCAGCCAAAGATGGTATATGGATAGCGGTTGCTCTAAGCATATGACTGGAAGCACCGATGATTTCCTTTCACTCAAAGCCCTGCAAGGTGGGAGTATGTCCATTGGCAATGCCAAAAGGGGATACCTTCTGGGAGTTGGAAGAGTTGGGAAGACACTCACTTACTCAATTGAGAATATGTACTATGTGAATGGCCTAAAATACAGCCTACTGAGTGTCTCTCAAATCTGCGACAAAGGAAACAAAATTGAATTCTTATCAAAGACTTGCACAGTCACCAATCTTGTGACTAGTGAAGTGGTTCTAATAGAAAAAAAATTAAAAAAATATCTACGTTGCTGATTTTGAGTCCTTGAACAGTAGGGATCTTATATGTTTGAGTGTTGGTTATGATGATGCTGAGTTATGGCATAGAAGATTAGGACATGTAAGCTTCTCGTTGCTGAACAAGCTGGTTAAGAAGGACCTGGTTCGTGGGCTGCCTAAGTTAAGGTTCAAGGATCACAATGTGTATGATGCATGTGTAAGAGGAAAGCAAGTCAGGTCCTCCTTCAAGACAAAAAGGGAAGTAAGCACCTCGAGGCCACTGGATCTTCTTCGTATGGATTTGTGTGGACCTATGAGGATGCCCAGTAGAAGAGGAAAGAAGTATATTTTTGTCATAGTTTATGACTACTCTAGATTCATATGGACCTTGTTCATCAGAACCAAGGATGAAACTTTTATAGTCTTTGCTGCCTTTGTGAAGCAGATTCAAGTGAAAATGAGCCATAATGTTGTAAGCATAATATCCGATCATGGTACAGAGTTCGACAATGCAAATTTCGACGAATTCTGTGCTGAAAATGGTATAATTCATAATTTTTCAGCTCCTAGAACACCCCAATAAAATAATGTTGTAGAGAGAAAAAATAGGACTCTTGAAGACATGGCAAGGACGATACTAATTAACAGCGGTGTACCAAAAAGCTTTTGGGCGGAGGCGGTGAACACTGCCTGCTATTTGATAAACAGGTGCATGATCAGGTCCCTCTTAAACAAGACCCCGTATGAATTATTGAATGGGAGGAAACCCAAGATGACTCACCTGAGAACGTTTGGTTGCAAATGTTTCGTTCTCAATAATGGTAAGGAAGCACTGGGAAAGTTTAATGCCAAAAGTGATGAAGGAATCTTTCTTGGATATTCCTTACAAAGCAAAGCATACAAGGTATACAACAAAAAGACTCAATGTATTGAAGAAATAATACATGTAATCTTTGATGAATAACACCACTTAAGTAGGAAAGACTCACATGATAAGAATGATCAAGATGGAGAGCAGTCAAAGGTTCTATTGATATGGCAATTAGAAAGGCCGATCTGATGAGTCAGGTCAAGGAATCTAATGAAGAAGATGCAGTAGAACCTCCAGTAGATTCAGAGGAACCTGGTTCCTCCATTACAACAACTGAAGCAGAAAACAAAGTTGCTGATGTCGTGCAAGGAACTCCTGATACTGAGCGGAGAAATGGCACTTACTCTTCCATGGATGCTAACTATGGATCCCATTTAGAGGAACCTGGGTTTTCTCACAATGAGATTCAGGTGTCCAACTAGAAGCACGAAAGTTCACATCCTCTATAGAATGTGATCACTCCTCTTGATTCAGGGATTCAAACCAGATCAAAGACGAGAAGCATGTTTGCCTTCTTAGCTTTTCTTTCTCGAATTGAGCCCAAAAATATCAAGGAAGTATTGAAAGATGTTGACTGGAACACTGCTATGTAAGATGAACTCCATCAATTTGAGAGGAACAATGTATGACACCCGGTTCCTCGACCTTCAGATAGAACTGTTATAGGAACCATGTGGGTGTTCAGAAACAAGCTTGATGAGTTTGAGAATGCAACAATGAACAAGGCCAGGTTAGTGGTTCAAGGCGATAATCAAGAAGAAGGTATTGACTATGATGATACTTTTGCTCCAGTTACACGAATAGAAGCTATCAGAATTCTCATTGCCTTTGCATCTCATATGGAATTCAAATTGTTCCAAATGGATGTCAAGAATGCATTTCTGAATAGGTATTTAAAGGAAGAAGACTTTGTCAAACAACTACCTAGTTTTGAATGTCATGAGCATCCTGAATATATATTTAAGCTTGACAAGGCACTATATGGTTTAATGCAGGCACCTCGTGCATGGAATGAAAGGTTGTCCAGGTTCCTTCTGGAAAATGGCTTTACAAGAGAGAAAATTGACAACACTCTCTTTTTGAAGAAACAAGGGAGGAACCTATTGATTTTGCAAGTTTATGTTGACGACATCATTTTTGGTGCAACAAATGATTCCTCATGTGAGGAGTTTGTCAAGCTTATGGGAAGCGAGTTTGAGATGAGCATGATGGGGGAACTGAACTTTTTCTTAGGTCTGCAAGTTAAGCAAACCTCTAAGGAAATGATGATAAGTCAACAGAAATATATTAAAGAGCTTCTGAAGAGATTTGAGATGGAAAGTTCAAAAACCATTAATACTTCTATTGCCACTGCCACTCGTCTGGACATGGATGCACCTGGTTCTCCTGTGAACGAAACCATGTATAGAGGTATCATTGGTTCACTCTTGTATCTCACAGCCAGCAGACCTGATATTGTGTTCAGTGTGGGATTATATTCTAGATTCCAATCAATTCCAAAGGAATCTCATCTGAAAGCTGCTAAGAGGATTCTAAGGTATCTCAAAGGAACACATGACCTGGTCCTCTACTATCCTTCAGGAGACAATCTCGAATTAATTGGGTATGTCGATGCTGATTATGTTGGTTATTTGGTGGATAGAAATAACACATCTGGTATGGCACATTTTCTAGTATCATGCTTGATTTCATGGGGTACAAAGAAACAAAACTCTGTGACTCTTTCTACTGCAGAAGCTGAATATGTGGCAGCTGCCTCCTGTTGTGCTCAACTATTGTGGATCAAGTATTAACTGGAATATTTTGGTGTGTTTTTTAATTGTGTACCATTACTGTGTGACAACACAAGTGCTCTCAACATGGCAAAGAACCTGGTTCAGCATAAGAGAACAAAGCACATTGATGTGCGACATCATTTTCTCAAGGAAAATGTTGAAAAGGGTCTCATCTGCATGAAGTTTTGCAAAATAGAGGACCGAGTAGCTGATATATTTACCAAAGCATTAAGCAGAGAGAACTTTGAAAAGAATTAACTAGCGTTGGGACTGATAAAATCAAACTGAGCACCAAGTCCCTCAATGATTGGCTATGAAGGAATGAACAGGTAAACTGCTAAAAATTATTTTCTGGTAATTTCTAACTCATTTCTATAGCGTTACAGGTAAACAAGCATGGAAACTACAGAGCAAACAAGCAGCTAATAATATTGCATTTTGGTAAAAGGGTGAGGCTCACATTTACAAAACTCAATCACAGAACCTGGTTCCATTGACTCAAGTTAGTAGTTCCTTTTACACTCATACACATTTTAAATGGCTATAAAAGATCCACGTCATTAAATGTGTCTGCCTCTCTCTCTCTCTCTCTATCATCCTTTTAAAGCCCAAACGTTACACTCGTTACAAACCGTCCCGTCTACCCAATCCATTGCACCCTTTTGTAACCGGTCCCTCATCCCCTCTAAATAACTCCAAAAGACGTCTTTCTCACAAATGTCCACATCAAAGCCATCAAACTTCCTTCTACTCTCAAAAACCCTATCTTTCTCGTGTCTTTACTTCCAAAAATTCACCATGTCTTCCCAGAATCCAGAGGTTTCAAATGTTACTAGTGTCACTCCCACTGCGTCTTTGTCTCACAAAGCACTGCAACATGAGCCTGAGTCTCAACTGTCAACATAATGAAAATCCCAACTCAGACCAACATCTTCTCCAACCACATCGAGTTCTGGTTCTCATCGCAGTTGTAAAAATCAAACCCCCAAAAGATTTGTCGCTACAACCTCTCCTTCTACTTCGCCAAAAACAATGGCAAATGACGAAATATTAGATGGAGAAAAGAGGCCAGAGGTCTCAAGTAAGCAAGTTGGGGAAGTCTTTTCAGCCCAACAAGATGTTGCTGGCAGTGGTGAAGCATCAGAAGTGCCTGCTCCTATGTTTGATCTGAATGTTGCCTCTCCGACAGGTAACGCTCTTCCGACATTTACTGATTCTACATTGTTGGGTGTGAGTGAGAGAGAAGCTATAGACAATATGCTACTTATTGCTACCGATGAAGAGTTGGTTGGGGAGTATGAGTGTGGTGATGTGACTACTGGGTCTTAGGGGGAAGGAGAAGGAAATGGAGTTGGAGGTGGGGAACTGGTGCCTTTTGATAACTTGGTACAAGTCAGTACTACAGGGGAAACAACAGAGGGACCTGCTCCATCTGCCCAAGAAGAGCACTCTGCTCCTACTTAGGATGAAACCACATGCTCTTCAAAATAGCCCCTGGTCAGTACTGACCCTGCTCCTTCTCCTCACTTTGATGCAGTGCCTTTGGATTTTGATATTCCTGAGATGAGACCCTTGTTTGAATAGGAGAATGATAATAGTGAGGAAGATTATGATGATGTGACGGTGGCAAGATTCATTGTTGCTAGAAGTGGTAGGTCTGTTCCCAAAGAGTCCGTTCTTAAAAGACCCACTACTAGGCAGCAGAAGAAAGAAGCTCTAGAGAATGCTCTAAAGAGAAACAAAAAAGAAAAGAAAAGAAGGAGGCTGGTGAAATGGGGAAAGCTAATGGATGAGGAGGATGTGCCTCCGACAAACATTGTAAATGTTGAAGATGAATGGTAAATGAGTAACCTACTTCCTTAATTCGCAAATCCTCTAAGAAATCTGTGCCTACAAAGGCCAAGAGTGGATCGTCTGTGAAAGAGGTGGAGTTTGATAAAGAGAAGAGTGTTGAAGGAGAGGAGTCTGGTGAGAAAAGTAAGTATGAAAATAAGGAGAAAAGTGTGAAGAAGTTTTAGAAGAGGAAAGCAAGTGACAAAGAGGAATCTGGTTCCTCCAAGAAAGTCAAAGTAGAAGTGTCTGAAGTTGAGAGAAGAGAAAACCTTAAGAAGTAAAGGGTTCTATGGGGCAGAGCATTTGACGCTGACATTCTTGAAATGTCAGGCATGAGACAACTATTTACAATCTACGAGTTTCAGAAGTGGACTCATATTTTTACCATTCAGAGTCCTAAGGTTTATGAAGAGGAGGTCCACAGTTTCTACGTAGATCTGTTTACTGTAGAAGATGACAACATCTGCTAGAAGGTTAATGGAGTAGATTTTGTGATGGACGAGGTTGTTCTAGGAAGTATCTTGGGTGTGCCCACTGAAGGGCTCTCATCTATTGAAGGGACTTGTTCCCCTGACTTTAGAAGGTCATTCTAAAAGCTCAGGTTGTTCAGCAAGGGGAACGGGTGCACAAGAAGGCCCTCCTTCCAGAGTATCAACTTATGTTTGAAATGGTGAACAAGGTCACTTTTCCACGCGCAGAAAGGCATTCTATAACTTCAAAAGCAGATTTGTTCCTCATGGAAGCTCTGGATGCATACACCACCATCAATCTGCCTGGTATCATGATTGAACATATGAAAATGGTGGCTGACTTTAAGGATGGGAACCATGGTTTGCCTTATGGATTCTTGCTCACTAGAGTATTTGAATTTTTCAAAGTCCCTTTGGAAAGAGAAGAAGTGGGAACTCGAAAGCATACTTTCTCAAAGACAACTTTGGAGGAATGTGAGTGTATTGACAAGAAGGGGGGTGTTGGCAGCAATTCTACTATTTCTCAGTTAATTGATGCTCAGAATGCTGCTAATGAGGAAATAAGGAGGCTGAAGGCTAGGAATGCCATTCTTGAGGGGCAGCTTAGTTAAGCCAAGGAGGAACCTAGTTTTAGCAGTGCACAAAGCACAGAGGTTGCTTGCTTGACTGCTAAAAATGCAGACCTGAGGAAACATGATGAGAACCTGAAAGAGCAGCTGATAAATGAGTAGCGGTCTGCACATGCTCGAGTGGATATTCTTCTCAAAGACCTTGCCTTCTCATCCTTCCTTCCCTCTTCCAGTGCTCCTTAAACTGTTCCCTTCTCAATGTCTAGTTTAAACTATGTTTGTCTTAACCCAGTATCTCTTTTGGCTTGTTGTTGTTATGACTGGTACTTTAAGTTAATTTTTATGTGGATGTTTTGTAACAATGGTGCTACTGCCTCTTCTTCTCTTATTAATTAATGAGCATCTCAGCCTTTTGCTATGCATGTTATGCTCTTGTGTTCTATTTTTAGCTATGTTATGTGCACACATGTGGCATGAGTTAACTTTGATGGACTTCATTTTGCGTTTACTTGCATATATTCTTTTTATGATGCCAAAAGGGGAAGACAATTGC